AATAAAGGAACTACCGAGTGTGATCTTGGACTGTTAAAAAAAGGAAAGTTACAAATGAATCTGAAGTAGACGAATGGTAAGTACTATAGTCATTCCACTGTTCTCCTAGACGAGATTATAAAACGTGTATAATGGACGAGTGACAAGACCTCAAGTCCACAGTGTTAGACGGATCTAAGTATGCACAGAGACAAGCGTCACTATCACTTACCACTTGTAACTCCTACACACCAGCTCACACCTACACACACACACCACCACTTCACACCTACACACACACACCACCACCTTATACATACACCACCTCACACCTACACACATACACACCAACACTTCACACCTACACACACACACCACTAGCTTATACCTTCACACCACCATCTCACACCTACACACACACACACACACACCACCTCACACCTACACACACACCACCTTATACCTACACACACACCTACACACACACACAACCTACCCAACACACACCACCACCACCTCACACCCACACACACACCACCACCATATACCTTTACTTTTACACCACCTCACACCTACACACACACACACACCACCTCACACCTACACACACACACAACACCACCTTATACCAACACACCACCACCACCTCACACCTACACACACACACCACCACCTTATACATACACACACACACCACCACCTTATACCTTCACACCACCACCTCACACCTACACACACACACACCACCACCACTACATCCTTGACCACCGAAGGGTCAAGACGTACCTGGCGCTCCTCTCGGAGCAGCCAGGTCAACTATTAAGTTGGCCCATACCAACCCCCTCCCCTGAACCCTCCTCCCCACCGGAATATCAACAAGTTCTCGCCAGAAGTTACAATTTCATTTAGGAAAGGAACGGAACCAGTGTTAAACAGTGGTGAACAGTGCTTAAGTCAGTGAGAACAACTCAACAGTAACAGTCGTACCCAAGTTAACCTTCACACAGTGAGGTCCCAGGTACCCAGTGATAACGGCCCGAGAGACCCAACAACAACCACCGATGTGTTAATCCGTCTACGATAGGAAGGCCTGGGACCAAACCTCACTCATATAACACCATCTGTGAGGGAATTACTACACCACATGTCCCTCATAACACCATATGTGAGGGAATTACTACACCACGTGAGGACCCTCATAACACCATCTGTGAGGGAATTACTACACCACGTCAAGTCCCTCATCACACCATCTGTGAGGGAATTACTACACCACGTCAAGCCCCTCATAACACCATCTGTGAGGGAACTACTACACCACGTGATGCCCCTCATAACACCATCTGTGAGGGAGTTACTACACCACGTGAGGCCCCTCATAACACCATCTGTGAGGGAATTACTACACCACGTGAGGCCCCTCATTACACCATCTGCGAGGGAATTACTACATCACGCCAGGTCCCTCATAACACCATCTGAGGGAACTACTACACCACGTGAGTTCCTCCTAACACCATCTGGGAGGGAGTTACAACACCGAGTCCCTCATAACACCATCTGGGAACTACTACCACGTGAGTTCCTCCTAACACCATCTGGGAGAGTTCCTAAACTACGAGTTGCTGTTCAACACCTACATTAATCTGTATGTTCACTGTATGTTCCTTTACCTTTCTCTAATAGAGGCTTTTGTTAAACCACCAATGTATATAAGTCATTTATGCCCAATGTATATTTTCAGCCTTCGGGCTGCAGAACTTTCAATAAACCGTTAATTATTATTATTATTATTATTATTATTATTATTATACCTACACAGCCACCTCACACCTACACACACACACCACCACCTTATACCTACACACCACCACTCACACCTACACACACACACACCACCAACCTTATACACACACACACACACCACCACCACCTCCACACACACCACCACCTTATACCTACACACACACACACACACACCACCACCACCTCACACCTACACACACACCACCTCACACACCTACACACACACAGCTACAACCCTACACACACACACACACACACACACACACACACACACACACACACACACACACACCACCTCACACCACACACACACACCACCACATATACCTACACACACACACCACCACATAACCTCACACACACACACACACCACCACCTCCCACACCTACACACACACACCACCACCTTATACACACCACCACCTCCCACCTACACACACACCACACACACACACACACACACCACCACCCCCACCACACACACAGCCACCACCACCTCCTCACACCTACACACACACCACCACCTTATACCTACACACACACACACACCACCACCTCACACAACACACACCACCACCTTATACACACACACACACACCACCACCTCACACCTACACACACACACAGCCACCACCACCACCTCCACACCTACACACACCACCACCTTATACCTACACACACACACACACACCCACCATATACCTACACACACACACACACCACCACCACACACACACACACACACACACCTACACACACCACACAACCACACACACACACACACACACCACCACCTCACACCTACACACACACACACCACCACCTTATACCCACACACCACCACCCCCACACACCCACACACACACACATATACACACACACACACACACCACCACCTCACACCCACACACACAGCCACCACCACCTCCCACACCCACACACACACCACCATATACCTACACACACACACACACACCTCACCTACACACACACACACACCACCACCACCTCACACCTACACACACACACAACCACCTTATACCCACACACACACACACACCACCACCTTATACCCACACACACACACACACCACCACCACCTCCCACACACACACACCCACACACACAACCACACCTAACACACACACACACCACATATACCTACACACACACACACACACACACCTCACACCTACACACACACACCACCACCTTATACCTACACACACACACACACCACCACCACCTCACACCACACACACCACCACCACACCTCCCCACACACACACACACCACACCTATACCTACACACACACACACACACACACCACCACCACCTCACACCTACACACACACAAACTCCCCACCACCTCACACCACACACACACACACACCACCTCACACCTACACACACACACACACACACCACCTCACACACACACACACCACCACCACCCACACACCTCACACACACACCACCACCACACCTCCCACACCACACAACACACACCACCTCACACCTACACACACACACACCACCTCACACACCTACACACACACACAACACCTCACACCTACACACACACACCACCTCACACCTACACACACACACCCACACACACCCCACCTCACACCACACACACACCCCACACCACACACACACACACACACACACACCACCTCCCACCACACCTACACACACACACACCACCACACACCTACACACACACCACCTCCACACACACACACACCACCTACCACCCCACACACACACACCCCACCCACACCACACACACACACCACCTCACACCACACACACACACACACACCACCTCACACCCACACACACACACACACCCCACCACACCCCACACACCACCCCACCACACACACACACACCACCTCACACCTACACACACACACACACCACCTCCACACCTACACACACACACACCACCTCCCACACCTACACACACACCACCCACACCACACACACACCACCTCACACCTACACACACACACACACCACCCCACACCTACACACACACACCACCTCACACACACACACCACACACACACACACCACCCCACCACACACACACACACACACACACACCACCTCACACCTACACACACACCACCACCTCACACCACCACACACACACCTCACACCTACACACACACACACACACACCACACACACACACACACACACACACACACCCACACCACACACACACACACACCACACCCACACACACACACACACACACACCTCACACACACACACACACACACCTCACACACACACACCCCACACCCACACACACACACCACACACACACACACACACACACCCACACACACACACACACACACACACACACACACACACACACACACACACACACACACACACACACACACACACACACACACACACACACACACACACACACACACACACACACACACACACACACCCATCACCACAAGAGCCGACACAGCAGAACAAACATGACGTCACAACTCCCAAGAAGAACATACTAGAATTATCAAAAAGAAAATAAATCTGCCGGAGTAAAGACATAAATAAGAGTTAAATTCAAACAATAAGAGCCTCTTATACTCTGACGTACCATAGCAGGTTAATGAAGAGACCATACTTAACCCCCGTCCCTACTCCTTCAATTCCCTACTCCTCCCCCTCCCCTATCCACTCTTCCCACTCCCTCCCCCTCAAATATCTAAACACACAATGCTTTTCAACAAGATCAACACCACAGGTATCTGAATACAAACCTCTCTTTCTTACCCAATGGCAGACCTTATCTCCAAGACCAGGAAAATCACCTAGACACAAGAGAGGTCACTGAGATGAGTATCGTGAACATTAATAACACTGTACAATGATGAACGTCTTCTACCAGGAAAATGCAATGCGATACTCTCAAACCAACCCCTCCCTTCCCCTTTGGTCATAATAGTACCACGCACACAGTGAACACAGGATAAGTTCACCATGCACACAGTGAACGCAGGATAAGTTCACCATGCACACAGTGAACACAGGATAAGTTTACCACGCACACAGTGAACGCAGGATAAGTTCACCATGCACACAGTGAACACAGGATAAGTTTACCACGCACACAGTGAACGCAGGATAAGTTCACCAGAGGCAACATGAACCCGTGAAATCTCAGGAAACTTACCATGTCATTTAGGCTCCATGGATGGCTGGACACCGGGTCCGTTTGCCCAATCATAATCCACGGACTCCTGTCAAAGAAAACGGAGAGCGGGTCGTGTTTAGTGCTGGGGTAACTGCTGCAGTGTGGGGTCAGATGAAAGCCACACAAAAATAATAATAGTAAAAAAAAAAAAAAATCACTAACAATTATTGAAGAAAAATGTCAATACACAAGAGATATAAATATAAACCTATATATTTGGACATTGTTCAAATTATTATAGGATTAATTGGGTTACCTGATGATTAGACACCCCAGCTTATCCCACCTGAAGCTTAACCACCTTTAGGTTAAGTTAGGTCAGGTCAGGTTAGGTTAGGTTAGGTCAGGTTAGGTTAGGTTAGGTTAGGTCAGGTTAGGTTAGGTTAGGTTAGGTTAGGTCAGGCCAGGTCAGGTTAGGTTAGGTTAGGTTAGGTTAGGTTATCATGGAATAAGGTTGGGTGTCTACTAGTGAGCTGATCAGAAATATTTAACAAAACTAAGAAATAATAATAATGATAAACAATAAACAAGCATTAAATAACTAGGCTATTATATAAAAAGACAGAGAACTTCATATGAAACTTGATAAATATTACATTAAATAAGAAATAATAAAACGGAAATCCTAAGAACAACAACAAAAAAAGTGGTGACATTGAAAAGCTTAAAGTCGATTAGGTTGAACGCTAAGTTAGGTTAGGTTAGGTTAGGTTAGGTTAAGTTAGGTTAAGTTAGGTTAGGTTAAATTAGGTTAGGTTAAGTTAAGTTAGGTTAGGTTAGGTTAAGTTAGGTTAAGTTAGGTTAGGTTAGGTTAGGTTAGGTTAGGTTAGGTTAGGTTAGGTTAAATTAAGTTAAGGTAAGTTAGGTTAGGTTAGGTAAGGTAAGGTTTGTGAAGGGTCAAACTTCCGATCGACAGATTAATGGCAGATCATCACAACGGCTGAGGTAAACACTAGCAAGAAAACAACAACAACAACAACAACAACAACAACAACAATAATAATAATAATAATAATAATAATAATAATAATAATAAAAGACAAACAATAACAAAATCAATAACATTAATAATAGATAATAATAAAATACAAGAATAAATTAGGAAAATAAAAATTGAATAAAGAAAAAAACATGACCTCAGCATCACCAGCTTGGAAAGTGGGGGAGGCGGGGCTGGGGTGTGGGGGAGGCAGGGCAGGGGGTGTGTGTGAGGGAGGCAGGGCGGGGTGTGGGGAGGTGTGGGGAGGAGGCTGGGGTGTGAGGGGTGAGGGAGGCAGGGCTGGGGGTGTGAGGAGGCAGGGGCTGGGGGGTGTGGGAGGCGGGGTGGGGGTGTGAGGAGGCAGGGGCGGGGGTGTGGAGGCTGGGGCAGGGGGTGTGAGGGAGGCAGGGGCTGGGCAGGGGGTGTGGGGAGGCAGGGCTGGGGCGGGGAGGCAGGGGCGGGGGGTGTGGGGAGGCGGGCTGGGGGGTGGAGGGAGGCGGGGCTGGGGGTGGGGGAGGGGGGCGGGGGTGTGAGGGGGCAGGGGCTGGGGTGTGGGGAGGCAGGGCTGGGGTGTGGGGAGGGGGGGCGGGGCTGGGGGGTGTGTGGGGGAGGCAGGGGGCTGTGGGGAGGCAGGGGCTGGGGTGTGGGGGAGGCAGGGCGGGGGGGGGTGTGAGGAGGCCAGGGGCGGGGTGTGTGGGTGGGGGGAGGGCAGGGGCTGGGGTGTGGGGAGGCGGGGCTGGGGGTGTGGGGAGGCGGGCGGGGGGGGTGTGAGGGAGGCGGGGCTGGGGGTGTGAGAGGAGGAGGGGCAGGGGGGGAGGAGGTGGGAGGGGTGGGGTGTGGGGAGGCGGGGGGGTGTGGGGAGGCTGGGGTGTGGGGAGGCAGGGAGGGGGGGTGGGGGGAGGGAGGCGGGCTGGGGGGAGTGTGAGGGAGGCAGGGCTGGTGTGAGGGGCAGAGAGAGGCGGGGCAGGAGGTGAGGGGGGAGGAAGGTGTGGAGGAGGGGGGCAGGTGTGTGAGTGGGGGGAGGTCGGCACGAGTGTGAGGGAGGCCGGACAGGTGTGTGAGGGAGGGTGGGGGAGGAGTGTGAGGCAGGAGGGAGGCAGGGCACGAGTGTGAGGGAGGCAGGGCAGGAGTGTGAGGGTAGGCGGGAGGAAGAAGGGATGGAGTGGGTGAGGGAGGCGGGGCACGAGAGGGGTGGGGAGGGAGGAGGAGGGGCTGATAGATGTGAGTTCACTGGCCTGGCGGAGAACCAGTTCTTGTGGTGTGAGTCACAGTCGCCGAGGTCACGTCGTCAACAAGGACGAGCCCGTCAGCCGCAGCGTGTGGTGGACTCGACCTTGTGGCGGGCGTGGCTTAGCACTGTGTGGGCCCAGGCTACTCTTATCGGAGGCCGCTTGCTTGCCCTGAGCACTCAAGCAAAACCCACATTATTCCACCTTACCTGCCGCCTCATCACACACCTATACATGCTGCCAGCCCTAGGATACCCTTCACACACCACCTGCCCCCCTCCTCCACACACCACACACCACCTGCCCCCCTCCTTCACACACACCCACCTGCCCCCTCCTCCACACACACCTACCACCTGCCCCCTCCTCCTGCCACACACCTGCCCCCCTCCTCCCACACACCTACACCCTCCTCCTGCCCTCCTCCTTCTCCTCCTCGTTTTCCACATTCTTCTTTCCTCTTCATCACACATCCTCCTAATCTCCCTTCTTCTTCCTATCTTCCCTCCATACTCCGCCTTCCTTCCTCCCCTCATCCTCGTCACCACACAGCCTCCAAACGTCTCCTCCCCACTCCCCACCTCCCCCTTCCTTATCCAAACGCCGTCCTTCATCCTATCCCTCGATCAATTCTTCCTCATCCCTCCCATCCTCTCCACCATCCCTCACAACTCCCCACATCACCATCCCCCTACTACCTCCATCCCCTACCTCCCTACTCTTCACACCCCTACTACGGACCTCCCTCCCCACCTCCACATTAGAAGGAAATTCCCAGGCTTTTCAAGGACTTAAATAGACTAAGGTTCAAATACCTGTGTGTTTTTCCCGGGTAGTGGAGACTTGACAATTGTTAAAATTCTTGGACTTTCCAGGAAAAAAAGTTATATTTCTTGGATTTTCAATAACTTTGCAAACCTAAACAAAACAAAATAAAAAAATTCAAAGACTTTCCAGATTTTTAAGAACACATGAAAAAATCTTATTAAAATTGTCCAGCTAATTCAGACACAGACAGACACCGTTAATTATTATTATTATTATTATTACACACAGACACAAACCAAATGCCTCATCACATTATAAATACTAATAATACTAATACTAATACTACTACTACTACTACTACTACTACTACTACTAATAATAATAATAATAATAATAATAATAATAATGGCGTGACATTTTGTTCATCATTATTTAAAAGATTATTTGATATTTTTCTTATCAATCCTATACTGTACTCCCTCACCTACACCAACACCTCCCTACTCCGCCTCCCACCCTCATCCTCGTCACCACACAGCCTACAAACCTCCCCTTCCCTTTTCCTACCTCCTCCCTCCTTATCCAGACCCCCTCCTCCCTCCTTATCCAGACCCTCCTCCTCCTCCTTATCCAGACCCCCTCCTCCCTCCTTATCCAGACCCCTCCTCCTCCTTATCAGCCCCTATCCAGACCCCCTCCTCCCTCCTTATCCAGACCGCTCTCCTTATCCTCATCCTCCATCAACTCTTCCCCAACACATCCCTCCCTCACACCAACACGGTACGCCTAGACACAACCAGAAAGAAGGGTACACTGAGGCAACACGGTACAACCAGAGCCAGACAAGAGGGTACACTGAGGCAACACGGTACAACCAGAGCCAGACAAGAGGGTACACTGAGGCAACACGGTACAGCCAGAGCCAGACAAGAGGGTACACTGAGGCAACACGGTACAACCAGAGCCAGACAAGAGGGACACTGAGAACACGGTACAACCAGAGCCAGTACACTGAGGGCAACACGGCACAACCAGAGGCAGACAGGAGGTACACTGAGGCAACACGGTACAACCAGAGCCAGACAAGAGGGTACACTGAGGCAACACGGTACAGCCAGAGCCAGACAAGAGGGTACACTGAGGCAACACGGTACAACCAGAGCCAGACAAGAGGGTACACTGAGGCAACGGTACAACCAGAGCCAGACAAGAGGGTACACTGAGGCAACACGGTACAACCAGGCCAGACAGAGGTACACTGAGCAACACACAGAGCCAGACAAGAGGGTACACTGAGGCAACATTTACAAACCAGAGCCAGACAAAGAGGGTGCACTGAGGCAACACGGTACAACCAGAGGCCAGACAAGAGGGTACACTGAGGCAACACGGTACAACCAGAGCCAGACAAGAGGGTGCACTGAGGCAACACGGTACAACCAGAGCCAGACAAGAGGGTACACTGAGAGCACGGTACAAGACAGACAAGAGGACACTGAGGGTACAACCAGAGCCAGACAAGAGGGTACACTGAGGCAACACGGTACAACCAGAGCCAGACAAGAGGGTACACTGAGGCAACACGGTACAACAGAGAGAGCACAGGCAACACGTACAACCAGAGCCAGAAGGAAGGGTACACTAAGGCAAACGGTACAACCAGAGCCAGACAAGAGGGGTACACTGAGGCAACACGGTACAACCAGAGCCAGAAGGAAGGGTACACTGAGGCAACACGGTACAACCAGAGTACACTGAGGCAGACAGCAGAGCCAGACAGGAGGGTACACTGAGGCAACACGGTACAACCAGAGCCAGACAGGAGGGTACACTGAGGCAACACGGTACAACCAGAGCCAGACAGGGAGGGTACACTGAGGCAACACGGTACAACCAGAGCCAGACCAGAGGGGTGCACAGAGCAGACTTGAGGCAACACGGCAACAACCAGAGCCAGACAGGAGGGTACAGTCTAGTGATGGGCGGTGCGACCAGGGTAGACAACAAGGACAGCACAAACATTGGCAACACTTGGCCTGGGAGGAGAATTAAGGACAAGAGAAGTGTGGG